CCAACCACAAAAAAAACAACAAACCAAAACAACAATAAAAAAAACCCCACAAGAAACCACCCACCACCACCCACGCCCTAAACACACTACAGCCAACAACCAAACCAAAAAACCATCACCTACCCACACAACATCCCACCACAAACCAATAACCTTGGGCACTAGAGCATGCCCTGAAGAGCCATGTCTACACGTTTCTTAAATACCTCCAGGGATGGTGACTCCACCACCTCCCTGGGCATTTGACTATCAAATATGGGGACAGAATGGGATCACAACTGCTCATCCCTTCCCTGTCCACACCCATTCACAAACCTCTCCCTGCTTTGATGCCAACACACTTCCCAGCAGCAAACCCCCTGAGTTCTAACAGAGGAAATAATGGAGAGAGCTGCCTTGCTCACCTTGGGACACTTCTTCTCTTTAACATAGTCATCTTCTGATTCAGACACATGCCGGAACTGCAGCTTTCCTGAGTTTATATAAAACCCTCCATGCTCGGTGGTAAGGGAGGCTGGAACATACTCATCATACTGGAAATGACAGAGAACACTCTATTGGCACCATCAGCTTTCAGGCTTTGTTCTGCAGCTGAGCTGCCTGGGGAGTGCTGTAGGAGTTGTGCTCCCCCAGGAACAGACAGGGCAGTGGATTCACCTGCAAACCAGCCTTCTCCTGCCAGGCGGGTGCCCCAGGAGCTCTCGTTCCTGGCCCTGGAACACTCCTGGCTCACACCCACTTCAGGTGCCAGCGCAGCCCCCCAGGCAGCTGCCTTCAGCCCCCTCACTCCTGCCCCACACTCACCGCTTCAGAATTGTCGATGAAGGAGTCAGACTCATCGTATCCGTACCCCATGTCAATCATGTCCTCTATCCGGTCCTTTCTCTGTCTCTTGCCACCCTAAAGAATAGAAGATTGAGAATGTGTTCATCTTTCCAATTCCCACAGGAAGGGCCTCAATACAGGACACTGACATTGGCTCCTGCCAGCAGCAGAACCAAACCAGTCTTCTCTGGCTGGCAGCTCTGCCCCTTCTAAAGGATAACACAATATAAGGACAGAAAACGTACATATTTTTCTTCAAACTTCCTCGCCAGAGCTGCCACTTCTTGCTGTTCTTTCTCGTCACCATCAAAGGGAGGAGCATGGTCTGTCTTCTGTAGAAATAAGAGAGACAAAGACCTCGATCTCGATCCTGTCACACTGCCACCAAAAGCCCATGCTGGACTAAAACATCCAGGCAGAAGCTCAGACAAATGAACCTTCAGTACAACATTCTGAGAGTTTCTCTAGGTTTTGGGTGCTCCCTCAGCTACTTCTGTTCCTGCCTCTGCTTCTTCCAGCCCTCAAAACAAAATCCTCCAAAATTGGCACGAACCATCAATGCTAAACAGTTCTGAAGAGCAACACTAAAAATGAGGAGAATCCAATCAAGTCTATTTTCATAGAAAAACACCCATCAGACAAAGTCTAGATGCTACACAAGTTTGAGTCTCACTGTATCCTGAGAAATGGCTTTCAACAGGCAAACACCATCGTCCAGCAACACCTGGAAGCACCACGTCCAGCTCACAGGCAGCGATGCCAAGCACAAAGGTGGAAACAGTCCCTTGCAGTAGAGCAGGGTCTCCAAAAAGATGCAGACACCCATCGTAGAAGCATCCCTGCTTTTGCAGCTCTTTGGAAAAGAGCTGCTGGCAGCTGCTAGCAAGCCAGGGACCAGAAATCCCTTTAGATCGAGCAATTCAGAACTAAACAAGCATTACGTCCCACACTCTGCCACCAAGACATCGCCCTCCGGATGTGAAATTCCAGACAAGGCACAGGAATGTGACAGTGTGGCCCAACAACGAGAAGCCCTGCCTGGACACCAGTTCTCCTGCCTGCGGGATGCCCTACCACTCTCCTTCTACCTCTCGGCTCCTCAGCGCACACACACAGACACCTCTCAAAACAGCAAGACTGAAACAGCCTTGGAAATCTTCAGATACAACACAGGTTCCCCACAGGCCATGAGAACACACTCACCTTGGCTCCTGAACTCCCTTCTCCGCTCTCTTGGCAGCTCTTCAGAAGATCGGGGTAGAAAAATTCTGGATAATGGTCATCATCTGGTGCGAAGAGACTGATGGTGATTCGAGCAGTTTTTTTAGGTGGTTCTCTGCTCTGAGGCTGATCTTTCCCAAATGTTTTTAAAAGGCTGGTGCTCTGAGGATCCCGGAGGGTGGTGAATGACACCCTGCGGGGCTGGGTCATGGTGAT